GAAAATGAATTATGCATCTCAGATTATGCTCCTTAGCAACCAAGTTTTTATCTGGACAACATAAATTACCATGCATGTAAAAAACAACTAAGCTCAGTATGTAATATTGCTCCGTGCATGTTGACAAGAGGCAAATATATATATATATATATATATATATGAATTCTGAAGAAAATTATACTGGATAAACCCTAAGATGCTGAAAACTCAATCATTGACTGGATGGCACCCTAAGATACTGAAAACTCAATCTCTAATTGGATGACACCCTAAGATACTGAAGACTCAATCTTTGACTAAACGGTACCCTAAGATGATGAAAACTCGATCTCTGACTGGATGACACCCTAAGATGATGAAAACTCGATTTCTGACTGGATGACACCCTAAGATGATGAAAATTCAATCTCCGACTGGATGGTACCCTAAGATGTTGAAAACTCGATCTTTGACTGGATACACCCTAAAATACTTAATCTGTAATTTGGATGACACCCTAAGATCCTGAAAACCCAATCTTTGACTGGATGGCACCCTAAGATACTGAAGACTCAATCTTTGACTAAATGGCACCCTAAGATGATGAAGACTCAATCTTTGACTGGATAACACCCTAAGATACTGAAAACTTAATCTGTAATTGAATGACACCCTAAGATGTTGAAAACTCAATTTCTGACTGGATGACACCCTAAGATGATGAAAATTCAATCTCTGACTAGATAACATCCTAAGATACTGAAAACTTAATCTGTAATTGAATGACACCCTAAGATGTTGAAAACTCAATTTCTGACTGGATGACACCCTAAGATGATGAAAATTCAATCTCTGACTAGATAACATCCTAAGATACTGAAAACTTAATCTGTAATTGAATGACACCCTAAGATGCTGAAAACTCAATCTTGAAAGAATTCCTACTATTGATATAGAGATTCCAAAAAATTTTGTAAATACTGTTGCATTTATATATAAATTACTCCATAATTAAGGGCTTCCAAAAAATGAATGTATTTAAACATGCATTCACAATTTGCAAACCTGTACATTCATCTGACTAGTATATACAAGATAATGATTGTAGATGGGTTATATAATGGGAAATAAACTGCAGAATAGCTAGATTTGTTAACAATATCACTCATGAGTTAAGATGCTTTGCTTGTCATTGAATGGAAGATACATTGTAGGTATATGTTTGTCTGAAATATTTGAACTTCCAGTACTACTTTGTTGTTTATTTATTGCAAAGCAAAAGGCCACTGGCCCAAAGAGCAAATACAGTTTCACTTAACAATGGTAACAATAAAAATCATTCAAGTTCTGCTTTTCATGGCAAAATAAACATAACTCGCTAACTGGTTTAAATTGACGTAATTTCTTGAACTCATGAGTGAGATAAATTTAATGTAAGTGGGATTAGTGCAAAACCATACAGGCAAAAATTCTGCTCTAATACGTAGATAACGGGGGTAAATAGCTATAAAATGATATTCGTCTTCAATATAAAGTTGATTGAAATGTATGTAAAGGTATGTTTTTTTTAGCTTGTTTTGGTAGTATTGTTTTGCATATATAGTGTGAATGAAATTTTTCACCCAGCCAAACAAGAGATACGTGTAAAAATTACCTGTTGACATTACAGGTCTACGAAATGAATATCTTGAAGCTAAGTCAAACGGAGCTGGAGTTGCACGATCTTCATCTTCCACCGAGTCATATATATCATCACTTAATCCTGGTAGTGTATCGTAAATATTTTCTATGTCCGTCTCCTCACCTAAGCAAAACAATGGATAAGTAAAACCTGATAAGGATTTCAAAATCAAAGTGGGATACCCAGCAATTGTGCTGCAGGATGAACATGGTCCATCAAATAGTGTGTACCAAAAACATCTAGTCATTACCATTTATCAGTTTTTCAAGTTCATTTCTTTTACAATCAAATAGTGGATCAGCAGGAATTGCAACACCAAATGGTACATCATATAATCCTTGGATTTCAAGCTGTCTTTGGAGTGCCAGGAAGTTGTCTGAAAAAGTGACAATTTTTGTTCTATTAGAAATGCATATAGAATAGCATGTAGACAAAGATTGCATATAATAATAATAATCTTTATTGAAACCGTATCCTGGAGTGGGATCTTAGTTGAAAATACAATAAAGTAATACGAAAAGATAGCAAACAAAAAAAAACAAAAAAACACAAGACATTCATAGACAATTGAATAGAGAAAAGAAGAAAAAAAATTAAATTATTTGATGGTTGGTTGAGGCATCTGGCATTATAAGATTTTTTTTGTCATAATTTGAAACAAGTGTGGATGAATTTTCCTAGTTCAATGATTGTTTTTCGTCATCCGTCCCCAAGTTGCTTTTATTGTATTTAATATTGTTGATCATGATTTCTCGTTCCTTCTTGTATAAATTACAATTGAGAAGAAAATGTTTTTCGTTTTCAATTTCCTGTTTGTCACATACATGTACATGTATTGTATACTGAATCATTTAAAAATAAGATTTATTTTGACCATACACACACCTTCTTCAATATTACTGAGCACATGTGCTACTAAGAGAGTAAATATGGAACAAGGTTTAGAATATAACTGAAGAAATACTGTGCAAAATTATTGCTCCACTCGTTATCGAGTTTCGGTAATAAGAGTTATTTGATAATGGTCAAAATATGTGATATTTAATAATCCAGAATACAATAAACACACTTCAAAAGTGAATCAATAACTATCATCATCTGAATATATTAGTTGTGACATAACGTTGTCAAAACATCACAGTACTTCTGCAACTTTGTTTATGATACAAATGAGGGTTAAATGAAAGAAAGAATGAATCACTTTGTAAAGTAAAATCAGATGCATAAATATTGTAAATGCATTAATTATTCATTGGGTTTTAATTTCAGTATTTTTACTGATAAGTGAAATCTGCTAAATCAATGTAAACATGTAGAATTAGGGTAGTCATTGCTTCACTGCTATATTATTATGAATATGATCAAAAGATAAATTTACTCTTTGAGTGCAAGATATTTTTCCCATCCAAAATTCAGTGCAAATATTTTCACATTTTGTAAAATTTTTATCTTTTTGGATCATACAGAGTGTCAGATGAGAAGGTTTATCAATTTTTATTAACATTTCATGTTGGAATCAGCTGACTATCAATATCATTTTGTAGAAGGTGGGAAAAGTTTACAATGACACTCAAAAAGGGTTAAGTACCAGTGACAAATAATGCTTAATGCACTCCAATATGCAGATACTCTGAGGAGTGTTTGTATAATGAAACAGAAATATGTAAATTATGATAATGCAGGTATTGATGATGTTTAGAATTTGTGTTTTAAGAGGGGTGTATGAAGTTTTGAAATCAAAGGTAAAATAATTGTAGATATTCTAGAAGATGCACCTGTGTGAGACGAATTCATTCTTCCTGTAGGTGTCATTTGAACATAGTTCAACCCTTGAAGGCTTGCCATTGGTGTATCATTCCCCATATCACCTTTATTAATACAAACATTTAGCAAATAATCGTCGAGATTCCATAAATAAAAATCACTAAATTAAGCTCAGATTGACCTGTGACATTTGGGGGAAATTAGAAAATCTGAAATCTGATAATAAAATCTAATCAAACACAATAAACTTATTTTGGTAAAATCCTTTGGCACAAAAAACATAATTCTAATCAGCTGACATAATGAACCAGTGTCATTCTATAGCAGGCTTTAATGCTATCATCTAATTATTCATAATTGTCCTTTTTTTTATTGACACAGCCTTGATGGTAAATCTTGGCCAAACAATGGGATTGTAAACTGACAAAAGGCCCACAATAACAAAAAAAAAAAAATTGTGGTCAACTTGGTCACCAAAATTTATTCCAGCAGGTGTTTTTATCCTATAATTGGCATTCAATTTTTGCTTTTTATAGATAGAGCCTGTAGTTATGGTTTCCTGTGCCCTAGGAACCTCTTTCTGAGTTCACTTAAAAGCCTTACACATAGAAAACTGTGAGGACTGATTTCCCTTTCAGGAAAAATATAATGCAAGTGAAAATAAAATATCGAGTACATTAGGCTACTTTAAACACTGAAGTCAACTATTGTCACTATTCAAAAAATAAAACCCACTTCATTTTTTCCCAAAAATTTCGATCAAATCCTGCAATCAATATGGAATTATTAAAATGTACTAAACTACGGTGGGAATGTGACCTGATTGGCTTTTAATTTACATTGAATGTTTCTTACAATACGGATTGACAGGTGCTTGGTCCATACACATATATAAATCATCCTGGTCATGTCCAT